CTGGCCCCGGTCCAATCGTTGTTGCCATAAAGCCTGGTCCAGACCCAAAGATTCCCAAGGCCTACCCTGCGGTAGCCCTGGGTGCCATCCTCCCACCCTATAGGGAGACCTATTCCTAGGACGGTTTTGCGGGGGACCTTGACCCCTGCCTCCCACTTGGCGGTTTCCTCCTCTGCCGCCAACCCCCTGATCGCCCTGAAATCGGCTCCCTGAGGCCCGACCCCCTTGGCCCTGGCCTCTTCCTCCTTGCGGCCTCCGTCCAGCCGCGACAGCAGTGTAAGTCCTCCCCTGGCCCACACCGCTGTCCGCCTCCTCTAGCCCCCACTCAATCTGATTGTAGGGAATCTCATCCACACTACCCTTATCTAAAGTCAGGACAAGGCTATCCTTGGTCTTTACCTGCCCTGAGATAGTGCGGCCTTTCCATTGCTTTCCCTTGTCCAAATCCTTATGCCAAAAGGTGGACAGGGACACTTCTTCGCTCTTCGCGAAGAACTGCCCTCGAAAGGCTTCGGGCATAGCCCGGTAAAAGAGGTTGACCAACTAGCCCTCTGTGACCCCATGGTCAGGGACGGCCACCAACTCATTCATTGTACCCTTGAGTGCCCTGACACTCTTCCATTTACGAGAATGGATGGTTTGGAGCTTGTATGAGGCCTTGACACTGCGAGCGACATCAGCAAATCGCTCGCGCAGCAACTTCAGGAATTCGGTGAAGGACGTAAATGAGGAGTACGCAACTGGATCGTCACTACAGTTGGCAGCACGAACAAGGGATCTCGCAAAACTTGCGGCCTCGTCTCTAAGTGCATGGATCGCAATTAAAACCTGCTGATCCGGGGAGACCTGTTGCAAATGCACATGGGTCTTAACATTGGCCTCCCAATTGTCAAAGTTCTCTTCCCTTTTCCCACTGTAGGAATCAGGGAATTTGACTTTGACTGGCTCCCTGCGAGGACGGGCCTCCTCCTCCTTGGGAGCGGCCACCTTGACGCCTTCGATGACGCCGACACAAAAACGCTCAGTCTTCTCGAGGCGATGACTCACCTCGGATCCCACAGCGCCTACTAGTTCGCGAGCAAAATCCCGTAAGCCCGTTCGCATCGAGAGTACAGATATCTCTTGGCTGCGACTAAACTCGAAGTGCCTTTCTTGCACTTTAGCTAACCGCTCAACGCTTTGGGCGATAATCTTCACTTTACGTTGGAGATCCACTTGCGGAATCAATTGTGTTGTTACGGCAGCCCTCACCTCCTCCAGTTCCTGCATTGCCGCATTCGCCGCCTCCACTCTTCTCTTCTTCTCCCTCATCACTGCGAGCTTCCACGCCATCCTTTGTTCATCCTCCATCGCCCGCTGCGTCAGAACATCTTCTTTTGCTTCCCATTCCTTCATGGCGGCTTCTTGCTCATCCTTGGGGATGTACATAGCAACCTCTTCCTCCTCACCCAGGGATAAGTTGGCGACCCACTCCGAAATCTTCTTCTCCATCTCATCACTGCTGCGGCCGCTGTGCTGCCCACTCCTTTGCAGTGGTGGTCCCTCCTCCTCTTCATCCACCTCCTTCAGCTTCTCCTCTTCTTCCTTTATCAGCCTCTCCTTCTCCCTGGCCATTTCTTCCTCCATCTTCTTCAATTTGGCCGCCTGTTCTTCTTTCAAGGCTTTTTTCTTGGCCTCCTTCTTCTCCTTCCTCTCCTGCAGGATGGCGGTCATCTTCTCCTCCTCCTCCCTCGTGTATGGTTGGGTGGCGGTACCACCTCGAGTGGGCCCTACTCTACACGCAAAGGTATGCCAAAATCCCAGAGGAAAGAGGAGACGCCAGAGGGTCCCCCAGAGGGAGAACCCAACCAGCAACCCATACATCGGGTAGTCRTCCATCGTGGTGTTGGTGCACGACAAGGGTCCCACTCCTCACCACGTAGCCCTACCCGGACACWCTAACCTACTGACTGACTTCCTAAGGACCRCARGATAAGACCCTGTCAACTATGGCCACTACTAACCCAAGACTACTCTAAGGCTGTCACTACAGAACCAAGAGTTGATCAGGAGGCATTTAAGGAGATCCCCCAAACTCCGCAAGAATTCTTTAACGTCGCAGACAGGACGACGTGATCARCTTGGTTCCTCTGGCGATTTCAGCCCACAACTCAGCCSKTYCGGCCTACTGTGCCACACCGAGCAGCCCGCCGGTCTRTACCGGTCCTTGGAGGGGTTCGTATCCCTCGGGACAGTCGAGTCGTCAGACACAGATCATCAGCCTTACTAGGTCCGGCAGGGGAGTGGCTCAACCAGGCCTCAACACTTAAAGACGGCCTTCGTTTCAGCCTACASCTCGGAGTTCAGACCCTCCACACTGRACTCAGTAGACCTGCCRGACAGTACCGGTCATTGGGCTAGACGAGTTGTTTAACGAGCGCTCGCCGCTCATGCCCAGGTCTCCAAGTGTCAGAGTAGAGCTTAGGTCCTACTAAGCCCGTGCAGGTTTGGCAGCAAGGCCCTATCCTTCATCCACAGAGTCCTAGCACCTAAGACAGAAGAGACTCAACGCAGAAAGAGTAGACTGACAACTCAGCAAGTACCATGGGGTAAGTGCACATCCACAGGGTAAGGGGATAGGCTGAAGGGTCAACGAGATATCACCAACTCCAGCTTGGTCAAAATCTTGGGCAGCAGCTCCAGTCAACGCCGAGTCAACACGATCAACCCCGGTCAGCGCTTGGTCAACCCTCTGGTCAACTCCTCACCTCGGCTATGACTGCCGGCACCTTCACCTTCGTCACCCTCGCCATCTACTTCCCCGTCCTTCACTTTCTTTCTCTTCACTTCCGCTGTATTATTATTATTATTTTTTATTTATTTTTTTTGTGCTCGCCCCCGGCTATGTCTGTCTCCTTCTCCAACCTCCTCCTTCCACACTTCTTCTTCTCTCTCCTTAGTCCCTCCTTCTCTGTCCTCCCTTTCTCTCTCCTCCG